AGCTCCTCCTGCTGCCACTCTGATTCATTAGACAAAGTATCTCATGTTACCTTACTCTTCTACTTTCAGGCTCTTTTATTTTCCACCACCCCCAAATCTTGAAATCTTAAGTCAAACTTAGTCTCTGATACTATGTTCATCCCATTATCCTCTTTTAAAAAGCTTCTATGGATCACCACAGCCTTAGTAAGCACTGCAAATAAAAATGCTCATGATGGCCATAGTTGATGACCAGAGCCAACAGAGCATGATGCAACAGTGCTCTTATGACAGTAGATGCAAACAAACACGCGTGCCTTAACGAGGAGATAGCTGCTTCTCATTCCTAGTCAAAAATTGACATTCAGGAATGCCTACCTATTGCTAACAGTGTGTGTGTGTGTTTTAAAAGAAGATCAAAAGCTGAATTGCTTAAGAAAAGCATTTATTTCAGATGAAATAACCCAATATTTGAATACTGAACTTGCTTAAAAGCAAAAAAGAAAAAGAACGAAAACAGCACCCAGATTGTCCAAAGTCTATCCACACACTTTCTGCCTGTTTGTGATCTGCACAGTTTAAAGTCAATACAAATGCCTTAGCGATTACTCCAAGCCTTCTTACACCATCCTACAACTATCTTCTGAAATCAAGTACCAATACGCAGAAAAGTCACTAATGCCTGCTGGTCTACTCTTGCAAGAACACTTCACACTTTCTTAATTCTTTGTTTTGATTGTGCTTTTCTTGACACACAAATGCTCTTTCTCCTTTCCAGCTCCTACTGAAAAATCCAGTTCGATCCGGTATGGTGGTCTATGGCTGTAATCCTAGCACTCTGGGAGGCTGAGCAAAAATTTCACAAGTTTGCGCCCAGCCTGGGGAACTCAGAGATTTTGCAACATTTTCCCTCCCCATTTAATACTTAAAACTTGATACTGCCATTATTTTTATCTCATGGGTGAGATTATTGGAGCTTTCTCAAAGAAAATGGTAGAGTTAGGGTTGAACTCAAGCCTGTATTGTTCCAGTGCAGAACAAAGAATATGAAGTTTATATTTTGATCATTTGTTATATGACAGGTGTTACATCCAGGAAAAAATTAAAATCCTTATCAAGGCTCACAAATTCATTCGCAGTGTGGCTCTCTCCTTCACCACTTGATAATTTTCCTGTCGACTTTTAAGCCCTAACCTAATCAGCCTTCTTTCCACTTCTAAGACTTAGTGAACACTCCACATTCCCTGGCTTTGTCAGTCCTGTTTCCTTTAGCAGAAATACTCCTCTCACAAGTCTAATGTCTGTGTATTTTTATCCTAGATCAAATATAATTTTCTCAAGATCCCTGCTCCCATAATCATTCTAAAAAATACAGGATTCTATTGTATGTATTGTAACTCACATTATCTGTTGTTTTTTCTAGCAGTTCCTGCAACTTTAAATACTTTTGTAATCATTTATTTAATGCATGTCTCTCTTTGCTGCTTTGTCATGAGTTCCCTCACTACCTCTTCCATCATTTCTCTGCACAGGGAGTGAATGATTGATAGCCTTTAATTCTTATGAGACATTTGAAGACTTGGAAGAAATTAAACAAGCTTAAGCTCATAGCTGGTAAGAAAGGAGATTGTGCATGTTAAAAAACTGTACTATTTCTACCACAGAAATGTTAAAGCAAGCTTAACTCAATCTTCTCTAATCTATACTTAGAGTCTTTTTTTTCCTTCTCAGTTTATAATCATTATATTAAATTCTAAAAGCAAGTGCTACATGAGAATTTTAATATTGAATGTTGTTTAAATAAAAATAAACTAAAACTGGACTGCAATGTTCCCATAGAAAAGGATAAATTGATGGTTCAGAGAGTCAACCATAACACATAATGGAAAATGAGGCCTTATCCTTGAGAATGTGGCTTCAATTTCGCATTCAATTTCAGGATAGCAGCAGAATGTCTAATTCATCAGGAAAAAGAAAGCAAACATCCAATCTGTTGGAACCAAAGGGACCAAACATCCAATCTGTTGTCCAAGATTAGTGAAATTACTAGGACTTCTCACTGCTTCACCTTTGATTGCATGTCTCCAGTGAAATCTAATACAGACTTTATTACCCTGAAAATCCAGGTGCTACAGTATGAAGTAACTTCCAGACTAGAGAGGGGGCTCCTTGCAGCAAGTTTAATGCACATGCATGTAGCTGAAGTTTGTTTTTCCAAGATCTCAGAGTATAGTTCTGGCAATGTATTTTATAGAGTCATTCACTATAATGGAGTCCCTTAAATATTTCTATTCTATATTTATACTACTATGGGTATAAAATATTTGCATAGTTCCTGCCATTGTAGAAGCAAATATACAATACTATTTTCTGTTAGGATAAGTTTGTGGATTCTGAGAGGAGTTTACTTTCATTTAAAACAGAGACAAACTTACAATAAAGAAGAATCCTTCCTGCTTCTGAGAAGTGAAAGGGCATCACAGACTGTGACTACGTGTATTTCAGCTCCAGTTGGGAAAAAAAAAAAATTAGCCTTACTTTGCTGAAGCCCTTGGATGTCTATATGTTCTATCACTGTATCCCAGTTTCAAAGAAAATAAGTAAAGCTCTCTTGTATCAAGTTGTACCTACAACCACTTAACCACCTTCCAAAGGCATAAAGCAACAAAACTCATGAAGTCTACATATCTTGTTATCTGACAAGCATCTTTACAATCATAAACTACTTCTGCCATAGATTTTAATGGTATAGAGGTAAGGAAAGAAGGTGGGGTGAGCATTCACTTTAACCTTTTTAAAAAGTTGGTATCAATCAAGAGTATCTGAAATTATGTATCCAACACAGTAATAGATTCAAAGGGGAACTATGTACTAAATGTAGTTTAAAATTGGTATCCCAGGGGCCAGGGATTTAGCTCAGTGGTTCTGCGGCTCCCCTCCCAAGCACAAGGACCTGAGTTTAATCCCTGGTACCAAAAGAAAAAAAAAATGGTATCCTTCCTCTATTTCACCCAACTCTGTTCTGCCAAAAGGAAATTCTTGGCAAGACTGCTGATATAAATTCAAGCCCAAAGTTTTATCATTTATTCACTTTGATCTACTGAGCTGCTATGAAACATGTCAGGCTGCATGATCCCAAGAGTGCAAAGATGAATAATTTATCTATGGTATTGTCAAAAGTTGGTGACCTACAATGTACTGAATTTTTTTAAATCCAAAGACCCTTTTGTAAACATTCTCATTAATGACAATATTTTATGTACACAGTGCTTAGAATATTTAAACAAGCAACTAGAATTTAAGAAGAGGATCAAGGAACCAAAATATTAGAAAGGAAATCTCCAGGTCTCAGTGTGCATTTTCTGGCCACTTTGACTTCCACTTTCTTTGGATTCCTCTGGCCCTTTACTGAAATGGCTTATTATTTCCCCTGAAATGGCTCCACTCTCTCTTTCCCCCTCATTGTTATTGCCACTGCCTTTAGTGTGGCCCCCAGTGGTTTCCACTCATAATGTTCTAGTGGCTGTTTTCTGTTTGTTTGATTGTTTGTTCATTTCTTTGTGTCTTGAGGCAGGATCTCATTATGTAGTCCAGCTTGACCTTGAACTCTCTAGGTATTTCATGTAGGCCTCAAACTTGAGACCCTCTGGCCTGAACTCCTGAGTGCTATTATTAAGTGTGAGGATATGGGTTTTATGGTAAAGGTGGCCACATAAAATAATTACAGTATCATGTTTTATGATAGACACATACATGTACACTTACCTTGGAGAACAAAGTAAGGAAGCCACATACGCTTTGAAGAGACAATAATCTCTGAGTTTTGATCTAAGGAACACAGAGTATTTCCCACCCTAAAATGATTGTGATAAGAGAATGCAAAGGTATCTATTTTTCCTCTAACATTCATAGGGTCTATTACTTACATGATTTTAATCCTTTGTTCAGTTGATGCTTAAACTAGTAATTTGCCTTTATGAAAATTGAAGAGACAGAGGTTGAATAACTTGCCTGCGAACACTGTCAGTAACTGTGAAAGGCAACTCAAGTCCAGGTAGCCAGGCCCCGAGTCCATGTTATTCATTTTCATGGCTCTCAGAAAGCAGAAGCCATGTTTTCCTCACTGCTGTATACATAGTGCCTAGCTTGCTGGCTGGGTGCTTAAAAGAGAATCAATCAAAAACTGCTGGAAAAAAAAAATTGAAATGGAGGGGCCAGGTGCTCACATTGGAAAGTGAACATCATGTAAACATGTAAAAAGGAAAAGGGAGATGTGGTCACGGAGCATGCGGAGGCCAATCCCTGGCCAGACTCCCTGCTCTGGCCCAGGGTGTTCCTCAAATGTAAATCTGAGCCTGTGGCACCCCTGACCTCACTGCTGATCAATGTTTTTCCAAACTTTTATAGACAATTTTTGTTCCTCATGGCTAGAAGATGAGAGCCACTCATCTTTATGAGCCGGCACATGGGAGCCATAGTAAGCCCCTCATAGACAGCGTGCCTCTCCTCTCTGTATCCTAGCAAGTTTGGTATCAGTCCGCCATCTATCCTGCTTGTTGTAATAACAATGCTTATAACTGCTTAACGCTGCAACTCAAGGAAGGAAACAACTCCTCCGACCCGGTATCTCCTGCCCTACATCTGCATTCTTTCTGAGCACTCCCAGCTGTATTTTCATAAAGACAAGTGGATGCCCCATCCGATGCCAGCTCCTTGGCCCCTCATGCCTTCCACTGCTAGGCGAAGCTCCTGGATTCACAGTGGCTTCTGTCTGCCAGACACCTTTGTTCCAGTCCCTCCACACCCAGAGCACCTGCTGTCCACCTTACAGGTAAAGCTCTGGGTAAGGGAAAGGATAGCTGGCTCTGAGACTGAAATCAGACACAGACTAAAAGATCTGAGCATCTCAAATTTCTGTTTTCTCTCCCGATGGAAATCCGGATTCTAGATCTCAGGGATGTCCGAATTCTTGGAGCCTAAAAGAGTTATGAGGCATCGGAGTTGGCCTAGAAGTCACTCACCAGCTGGTGGAGGGTTGGTGTCTGTTCTCCAGCGTTTTGGTCCAGGGCTTGTACCAGCTGATCTGCTCAGCAGCTTTGCCCCAGAATCTCTCGGGGTCGGCCACCGAGGCCGCAAAGTGGCTCTTGTACTCGAAGCCCCCAGAAGACAGAGCCCGGCAGCCCCGGCCCCCGAGAGAGCCCCGCGGGCCAGGGGCCACCAAAGCCCTACGGGCTGCACCAGCTCCTCGGGCCGAAGGGGACCCGGGCAGGGGCCCCCCGAGTCCCCCGGC